GCCTGCAGTGTGGGCTGGGGGCTGTAGAAACTGTCAATACCTCATGTCAATATCAATATCCCGGCTATTGTTGTCGGCTGTGAGTCATAAGCGATAAGGGAAGGGTCGGAGTGTATACTGTAGGGGCACGAGGGGACGCTCTGAGGGAAAGATGGGGTGTTGGCCTCTAAAATGTTCGGCAAGGCCAACGCTCCCCAGCAAATATGGCAGAAAACACCCACCCACACGCCAACTTTATTAAAAATAAACACTGTGTTGTATGCAGTAATGGTGAACACAATTATTTTTTAAATCAAAAGTGAGTACATGAGTGTACTGTAACCCTTCTTTCTATGGTAGTTACAGAGTCGGAACAAAAAGTTACCAAACGGAAAAACAGTGAGCAAGGAGCAATGAGGAGGGGGGATAAGATAAATAGAAGGAAAGAGGAAAAAGTCAACTCAACCCCCCCCCCTGTTCCCGCTTCTCCCCTTTTCGAGGTGAATGTATAGAGGGGCGTCGCTCCTCACTAAGAGATGGGAGGGTGAGGGGAGAGGTGATGACTCATGACGTGTCAACCCTAATGGAGCCTGCCTCTAGCTTCAACTGATTTGTTGATTGTTGATGCTAGAGCCAGGAGCTGACACATGTACGCTCCCTTACTTCCTAACAGGTGATCACCCCAGCTCTCAACCATTGTTTGATAAAATTACAATTTCCTGTGACAAACTGGGCTATATTAGGGTTTTTAATGAAGATAATCTGGAAAAGGGGAGGCGTCAGCTGGCGCTGGACTGACGTGAGAAGAACCTCAGGCAGTCAGTGTCACAGCAAGATCTACCGGATGCAGGAGAAATGGCATTACACTAAACCTTGCAATGTCCGTCAACCACAACCAAAAAAATGAGACAAAAGACGAGAATCGAATCAGAATAGGCTAATTACGGGCCTGTGGCCCGTGTCCTGGTTGGCAACGCTCTTGTTTCACACGATGAGTGTCCGTGGTTCGATCCTGGGCAGGGGTGGAAGCATTGGGCGTATTTCCTTACATCTGTTATCCCGTTCACCTCATAAGTGGGTACCTGGGTGTTAATCGACTGGTGTGGGGTCGCATCCCGGGGGACAAGACTGAGGATCCTAATGGAAATAAGATGGACAGTCCCTAGATGACGCAGTGCCTTTCTGGGTTACCACTGACTTCCTTGGGTTTTCCAGGGTGGCTAACCCTCCGGGGTGAAAAATCCGAACAAAATCTTATCTCTTACCAAAACGTCGCCAGCCTTCTTTGGGCGTACGGGACCCCACTTGTGAATTAACAAACTCACCCGCTAGTAAATTAATGAACTTACCCACTGGAATAACCTCCAGGTTGCTGACTGGTATAATGTAAGGAAAGACACTTGTGCCAAATTTTAAACAGGAAACTTCTCGTTCCTGGGAGTTTTATCAATCCTATACACGCCATATGAGATCAACAATATATATATATATATATATATTATATATATATATATATATATATATATATATATATATATATTAAATATATATATATATAATATAATATATATAATATAATATATTTATATATATATATATATATATATATAATATATATATTATATATATATAATAATATATAATATAATAATTATATATATTTATATATATATATATAAATATATATATATATTATAATATATAATATATATATATATAATATAATATATAATATATATATATATATTATATATATAATATATTTTAATATATATATATATATATATATATATATATATATATATATATATAAAATATATATATATATATATATATTATAAAATAATATAATATATATTATATAATATAATATATATATATATAATAAATATATATAAATATATAATATATATATGTATTATATCAAAACAACCACTCTGAAAGAATAGAGAAATTCCAAGCGCTTTCGTGACTACTCACATTGTCAAGGAGTTCCTTGACAATGTGAGTAGTCACGAAAGCGCTTGGAATTTCTCTATTCTTTCAGAGTGGTTGTTTTGCATATTCCGAAATCACCTGTTTACTGTGATCTTATTGCATATATATATATATATAATATATATATATATATATATATATATATATATATATATTATATATATATATATATATATATATATTGGCAGTTTGGAGGGATATGTTGTGTATCTTTATATGTGTATGCTTCTAGACTGTTGTATTCTGAGCACCTCTGCAAAAACAGTGATAATGTGTGAGTGTGGTGAAAGTGTTGAATGATGATGAAAGTATTTTCTTTTTGGGGATTTTCTTTCTTTTTTGGGTCACCCTGCCTCGGTGGGAGACGGCCGACTTGTTGAAAAAAAAAATATATATATATATATATATATATATATATATATATATATATATATATATATATATATATCAAAAAAAACACTGCGCTAGCCAAGGATTCGAACCCATGTTGTACTGGCCTGCCTCATGGCAAGCGAGAACCACATGACGCTTTAAACCACAGGACCACCCAACCCTACAAAAATGGCGCAGCCAGCAGAGCTAGCTGTTGGGCCGCCATCCGAGGGCATACGGAGGTGTGGGAGCTTCTAAGCTAATTTCATTCTCATCCCTGTTTGGTGTACTAGCCTCACAAGCAGCATTTATATATTATTGTAACCACGGACGAGTGGTATTGATCAATAACACAAATATATGCTCAACCTATTCTTAAATCTACCGAATGTTTACCTTTAATAACCTTATTAACACATACACGGCCAACTCAAATCCAACCCTTCTCACTCGTGTGTCTTTTGCTGAAAGGTGCCCTAGGTATCCTAGGTATGCTCCAGGTATCCTCCAGGTAGGATTCAGCTTCAACAACTCTTTCTTCTCATCCACAACCATTTCCGAGCCAGTACTTCCCTGTAGCCTTTTTAAATCTAAGTTTATTCAATTTGAATCCATTATCTCGAGCTCTTCCTTGTCTGGAAATCCTCAGTACCCTATTTATCTCCTGTATTTAAGCCCGTCTTTCCCTTTTCTACTTTATTTATTCTAGTCTTCCACTTAGTGTAGGTGTTGCATCCGTTCTACGGCCACACTGAGAAATATTTCATTAAATGTAAATGGCTTTAGTCATTTTAACACCCTCCCTTCAAATATAAGGTTAATTACAAGACTTCCAGCTGTCTTTAAGAAGAAACTGATCAGCCGGGACACAGTGGTGCCTCTTTTGAATTGCGTGGTACTAACACCATCAGTCTAAATTTATCAGGTCATCAACAAGGAAGACTAGTCCGGGGCAGTGAAATCCGGAATCGACAAAAGCTAAACAGTAAATAAAATACACTCGCTATTAAGTGAACATGCTCCCTAATAAATTAATAAATTCACCCACTAGCACATGAATAAACTCGCCCAATAGTAAACAAATAAACTCTTAACAGCAGTAATCTAATAAACTCGCCCACCAATAAATTAATAATCTCACCCACCAGTAAATTAATAATCTCACCCACCAGTAAATTAACAAAGTTTGCCGCCTGAGTGATCTTGCGGAGAGGGGTGGATGGTGATGAAGGGAATGTCTGGAACGCCGTGCCTATAAAACACATTACAGTATTCATGCTAGCGAGCAAGTCGGCATAACAGTATGATTATGTCCCACTGAGGGGTTAGCGAGCAGGATGCGCGTAGGCTGGAGGCAAGTGGTGGAGGTTCAGGAGGTATGGGCCAAGTGGTACTCGTGTGAAGGTAAGTGCCCTCCAGCAAGTGTAGTGTGGGTGGGCATCCCTTAGGCCAACACGGGTCTTGGAGCCACTTGTAGCAGGGTAATACGATGATCACTCGGTGTGCACCAACGATGCCTCAATTACTCTCAGTTCATGCTCCATGTTTACATCTCTTGTATTACCACATCTCTCCAAGCACTTTGTAACTCTCACAAATCTTTATCACCCTTAACACCAAACTACCCCACGTTATAATATATACTGAACTTTATGCAGCTTTTATCTCTCCACCACCATTTCCTGAAGCAGTGACATTCACAAACCCTTTAAATTAACCAAATTTCAGAAATTGCTTTTAATAATCAAATTCACAAAGACAGCCAGAAATTACGTTGAAATATTATCATGACAAAAATTAGGAACCCGAAAGAAAGGAGAGATCAACGTTCTAAGAGAGGCTTCATACAGATAGAGTAGGAAAGGACAATGGGGGGAGGGGGTCCCAGAGATTTTACGGTGAGGGGAGCGAGCCAACCGGTTCTTGACAGGTTGATATTTGTACCCAGTGTGCTGGCGTGCTGGAGGGTGGCGTTAGGACTTCTGGGTTTAAGCGGATTTTATTCCCTTATGCAAGCTGATACCTGCTACTCCAAGATGACTACGACGTGAAAGCAAGCAGAACAAGAGAATGAATGATATGATGACAAAGTATAAATAACGTATATAAATAAGTATGCCATGGAAAACCAACGCTGCTTATTCAACGGTGATTAAATTGTTCAGGAACGCATTTGCCTTACAACAGGTTGGACAACAAATGGAATGGAAAGGAAGGGGAGGAGAGGAGGGGGCAATGAGGCCGTGAAAGAGAAGGAAGCGGAGAGAAGGGAAGTCCTATTGCGAAGAAGGCTAGGCCAGACCCTAGCTATGAGTCACTAACCGCCTGCTCTCCTCGCTGCACATTACCCTCAAGTCAACCCTCAATTATTCATTACTTTACCAGTGTGACTCATCCCCATTACTACACCGCTATGATTTCCCTACGTCCCCGTCCCCATCCCTCCTTCCTAAGTCGCCCCTACACTCAGGCCCTAATGGGAAATTATTTTATTAGCAGGATCACACGGGCCACTAATGGGAAATCAAGCCCTAACAGGAAATTATTTTATTAGCAGGATCACACGGGCCACCCTGCACTAGGGGTGCAGGGTGGCCTGTGATTCTTCCGCCAAACGAACCTACCCAAACAATGTAAAACGGAAGACTCACCAATGAAGTGTATAGCCTCGTGGAAGTATTGGCTCAGGTTCTGATGACCAGAATCCATAGCTGGGAGAGTCTTGTAGCAGATACCAGAGTTTTCGTGGTAACCGGGTACGTGTGACGTTACGTTCAATACCCGGCTAATACCCAACGCCTGCAAAACCAACATGAATATAATTGATCAAGCTGTATCATGAAATTATAGGTGCTGTGAGACGAATGGTGCGAAAATAAATGGCGTGCTGTCATCAACAGGGAAAACACGTTGCAGAGCAAGCATTTACTGGGACGTTTCGAACTGTTCTGATTTTGACAAAAAAAAAAAAAAAAATCGTATATTGAAAGTTATGGGAATGAGACATATGCATACTCAATTAGGAATGACATAACCATCAGTGGCGAAAAGTCTCCATCAACATATGTCTTGATTGTGTATATTTCATTCCCACAATTTATTATTAACACACCTGTATTTGTACAGATCGAAAGTGTCGCAATAAACCCGTTCTGCAAATGTATTTTATTCACATTAGATGTGATTTACTACTTGCCAACCATATAATCATAAATTAAACTGCTAATCGATAAATTAATTTTGCAGTTAAAAAAGAATGATCTCAAGGTGGTTAAACTACTCACAACTAATGCTTGCAGCACATTAATTAATTACCCTAACTAGGAGATATCAAAACATTAAAGCTCGTCTTGATACAACTTTCAAAAACGTTCCGCACTATAACAGACAACTTTATGATTTACAAGATGTGTTTATGTGAATATACAGTATTTATAATCCACAGCTTATGTGTCTACACCCATTTCAAAAGAACCTCTACAGAGTGGGAACGGCTGGAGAGTATAACCTGCCTAGTACGGGCAAATAAGCCTACTGCAGTTTTCATGAAAGCTTCATTTTGAGGTTGACTGAGGGAAGGAAAGGGTTAAGGATGCAGGGCATCACCTGTAGTATCCTGAGATCTTGGGCGTCTCTGGCGTTGCCAATATAAAGAAAAGGCAGGACTTCGGAGGCTTGCGCTTGTTCTATGGCCGCCTCGTTGCCCGGGGAAGGCAGACTGCCTATAACCACGCCAGCGGAGCTGTAGGCGTCACAGCAGGAAGAGGACTCCACCTCGTCCCTAGAGCGCATCAAGGCGTCTTCACATAGCTCAGGATACAAGCGCTCGAATGCCTGGAAGCCTCCTGCAAAGGTCACAAAACTACATTAGAATTAAAAAAAAATTAAACAAGGCCTACTGGCTCACACTTGTTAGCAGGTGCTACTCACACCCACCCCTTCCCATTTATTAAATCTCAATATTATTACGTCTGTAGCTTTTGTTTATTAAGTGGCTTCAAAATGTAAAATATGTATGCTCAACAACGATACCGAGGCAGCATTGTAACCCGTGTCACAAGGTACCAAGTGCAGCCGTTTTTATAATATAAACCATCCACATCATTAATTCTAAATTACACAACACTGACAGGTTAAAATATACAGATTGCAAATCGTTGTCGTGAATTATTTGAAGATCTTGTGCAATACGAAGAGTGAGGGAGCAAGCCTAATGCCACGGATAAATTTTGCCCTGGGGGGCGAAGGTATTAAGTATTACGCAAGTTGTCTTATTTACACCCTGTCAGTATACATATACCAGGCAGTATTGGGCAACGCCACTCATCCTGTTAAGTGAACATGCAGCCATAAAGACGGTGTTGGGCAACTCCACTCATCCTTTGAGCAAACATATAATGAAGTTAGGCACTGTATCAATCACTGAAGGGTCGCAAATGCATTATATTTAGATTTAACAAAAAGGGCAAAAAGATCACTAACTTTAAAGTATTGTCAAGTTAGGTAACATCAGGTGTGAGAAACTGGAACAACTTGGATGCTAAAGCACAATGTTAAAGCACAATATGAGGAATTAATCTCTCTCTCTCTCTCTCTCCCCTTCCCCCTCAACACACGCTCTATATTGACTCTCCCTATACACCAAGGATATTTTTCGTACCATCTCTGTTTAACAAAGATGCACATTCTAACACAGCATGAACTATGTTAAAGTGACCAAGATACAAATACATATCTAGATAGAGGCAGAAGAAAGTGGTGAATATCACAGGTGTTTGGGAGCCTAGCATGTGTTGCCTTGTGACAGGTGTTCCCAGCTAGAACCTCACATGCAATTACCACCCCACATTTGTTTTTCTCCGTCCCCCATTACTGTCTCCTTTCTACTTCACAACCTCCATCTCACCCTAAACAAGCCCCATCCACCTCGTAGATGTCTTCCTGTCTCCTCTGAGTTTCCATACTTTCGCCAGAACTAGTGGGAAACATAGCTTCCATCCTGTCATTTAGACTAGGATAGTGTGAAGTGAAGAAAACTTTAGAGGGGGGATTATTTACCCAGGAGGATTCTCTATCCCTAGAGTAAGACCCACAATAGCCGACTAACACTCAGGATACATATATATATTCAATGCTACGCGTACATGAACAGTAGGTATAATACGATTTGCTCATATGCCTCTCATCACCTGGGATCTGATCCAGGGTTCTTTCGTTTGTGAACCGAACGCTCAACCTCTGAGCTAAAGGTAAAGGAACCACATGATTACGTGAAAATGATATGACTGGTGTAATCAGGTGAGTGAGTCAGGTGAGGTGGTAGAGGGTTGACCACACCTAGCATGTCTCTACCACTCTGTAAGTGACACTAGCCTACACCTGACGTAATGTGACGCCCCCACCACAAGCTACCTTCCCCTCCCCCCTTCTCTACCTCCAAACACTACCCTCTCCTCTCGTCACCAGGAATAGGATTCTTCCACCTGCTGATGCTCCTGCTACAATAGGTAGTGAGACAGTAGACAGCAACCATCCTCAGAGGTACCACCCTCCTCTCAATAAGTGTGCAAGGGAAGCCAGTTGAACATTTTGCACTCTAGCGATATTGTTGGACTTTTGTCTCAAACACGTAAGTAAATGGACACACATATGCACCATAGAAACCATACCACGGGTGGAGATAGAACCCGCGATCATAGTCTCAAAACTCCAGACCGTGGTATGGTTTGTTTGCAATCGTGTCATTACGATTTCGTGAGTCATGCACCATAGACAACAGACACATTAAGGTATTACTAACAATAGTTACGCATTTACGATAGCAGGCAAGTCTTATAATTTTCTACTTACTTTCAATATACACTCCGCTCTTCTGTAACAATATTCATTCTTGTAATATTTCATTCTTATGAGGCCTTGTCTGAGACCGAGCCGCGGGGGCAGCTATGACCCCCGGAACCATTAACACCTATATCCATTTACCATCCAGGTGGGAATGGGGCTAAGTGATGGCCGTGTGCGGTTTGGGCAGGATAAATCTGTGAATTCCTAAACTAAAACTGACAAAGTTTTGTGATGTTATTGGTTATTACTACAAGAAACGCTTCCACAACTCCTGTTGTGCTGGTCAATTTCTCTGCAGACTAATTTGGCGTCTCTGGAGTTTGAGATAGTTGTAAGTTTCAGTTATAGTGTAGGCACTGCTTAAATCATCCTGCATGTCAGTACACATATTAAAAGTATGAGTTAAGCAACGCCTGCCATACACAAACTCTCGCAATCAACACGTGAACTTCACAGATGCCGACTTAAGTCATCAGAGAAACTGACCAGCAAAACGAATACTGTTAAGCATCTGTTTTATTGTTTCTGGCATGTTTATGATTTCTTGCTGCCCAAACCGCACACAGGCATCACTGGGCCCTACCCCTACAAATAGCACTTGACCTTGATCCACTACATGTACTACGTAAACTCCGGGTCTGTGTATTGGACTGATAAAACGAACTAAAACTCTCCGTAATAAATCTAATCCCGCATTTGTATCCTAAATTATAATGTAAATAAAAAACAAATTAAATGAAGTTACATATCTATGTAGTGCTAAGCACATGGCAGGTTCATTCACTAAACTGTTGCTACACTAAAATCCAACCACCTTATTTTTTTTCTATAATTACGGTCGAAAAAGCATCGGAATGTTATTAACGATTATAACTGAGAAACCACGGCGCCCCTACAGCCAGTTAACGTAAGCTCATACAACCTGCCATTCATTGTGATGCAGCCCATGTAGAATGACAGAGATGGTTATTAAACGACCTTAACTTAACCAGCTCTAAGTGCAACGCTCACGCACTCGCCCTTCTGGCCGGAGACAACAGGGACTAAATGAAAGACGCCTCCTTGTTATGCAAGGCTGCAATGCTCACTTGGAATGCTTGAAGGAGGCAAGTGATGTATGTCGTAAGACAACCTTGGTCCGGGACTACCATATCCCTTATTATAGTATTCACGATTTAACTTTTTTTCCCATTAAATGCGTTAATTATATCATGTATATGAAGAAAAATAAAAAAGTTTACAAGTTCCCCCTAAAACAATGAGAAAAAGCAGACTAAAAAAATATTCAAACTGGGGATTTTTTTTAATTAAGTATATTTCTAAAAGTATATGTATGTAAACAAACAAAGAGCAGGAATGGTTTGGAGTACAAGGATGCGAAGTAATACAAGCTAGGTAGGTAGGGAAGAAGCAGGATTCCCCGCACCGTTTACGGTGTTCCTTGTGACGCAGAACGCCATCTCCAGGGATGCCGTGACGTCATTAAGTCTTACACCCACTAACTTGAGATTGTTACTACACTTGGTTTAATGTTTCACCATCCAGCTTGCATTTCAAACACGCTACACAAAAGCATACTTATGTCTTATTCAAGAATTTGAGAAAAAAAATCGGAAATACCTGGGATTTTTAAGACATCAGTTGTAATAAAGTTGGTAGAATTACCGACAACATGTAAAGTAAAAGGACACAAGTGCAACTAATGTGACATTTATTGTGGCAACGTTTCGCTCTCCAGGAGCTTTATCAATACCTTTATCAAGCTAATGGCTTGATAAAGCTCCTGGAGAGCGAAACGTTGCCACAATAAATGTCACATTAGTTGCACTTGTGTCCTTTTACTTTACAAGACATCAGTTCATACATAACAGGACGAATTTGTTTTATTAAATGGAAACAAACTTGGTTAATGACTTATGCCACTATTAAACCATTATTGTGACAGTCTTGAGTATCCTTTAGGGACGAAACAGGCTGCCAATACTCAATCTTCAACGAATACTAATTAATAATGATATAAACCTTTGTAACTGATACCGACAAATTAGTTAAAAAAAATGAAGCAAACACTAGGATATATTAGAAATCGTCTGAGGACCGAAACGTTTTCTAATAAATATGTCCTTGTGTTTGCTCGTCTTTAAAAAAAAAAAAAAAAAATCCTTCTTAGAAGTGAAATACAAAATACTCACAATGAAAACCAGACACACATTAAGTACACTAAGAGAGCTCATGAGATTAGAGGGCGCGAGGCTTTTCAAAACAATTCATTTAATTAAAATGGAATTAAAAGACCTTGATCAGAGGACTGTAGTGCTAACAATAGAATGTGAACGGCAAATACCAAGAACCTGGTAGATCAGGTCAACACTAAAAGGCCTGGTCGGTATTTCGTAATAAACTCAAGGTGGATGGGTTTCGATGACACGACTTCGTATAGAAAGAACACGTGAGAACAAAAATAAAGACTATTAGATCTACTGATCCATGTTACACCTAACATTCCTTACTTGTGTGTTGATCTAACAAAGAATAACAGTTCGGAGTGTTATTAGAGGGAATAGTTTATGATGTACAGGGAGTGTTGGGGGGGGGGGAGCACTATGTAACCAGCGGTAGAGTAGTTCGGTGGCTCCCGGACCTTGAGTTTAGTGATCTTGTGTGATGGAGTGAGTCACGTCCTCTCAACCAGCTCAACACCCCACTATGTATCGCCCTCACACTTACAACATCCCACTCAAACCTCAACATCCTTTACAAGTTGCCGAAACAACACAAAAAATCAAAATTCCTTTGAGAGAAGTTTCCTAGAAAGATGTGGAGGTGTGAGAGTGTGTATGGCAGCTGTTAATCAATTCCCAAGGGAAAAATCTCTGTAGGTCTTAAAAAACTAGTGCTGCACCAGTGTGGTAGAGCACTTGGCTCAGCTGACTGCTGGTGGGTGACTGCTTAGTGTGCGTGCGTGCGTGCGCGTGTACTCACCTAATTGTGGTTGCAGGGG